GAAAGGGAACAAATCTAGGTAGGTTCTTTCTTAAACTCAAGTTAGTACGATTAGGGTGATTAGGCTAAAAAGGATAGTATTCTAGGTTATTTCGAAATTGGTTCAATAGATCTGGATCTTAATGAATGTGGTGTGTTTGCATATTTGGGATCTAGGGTTTAGGGAAAAGAAAGGAACTTTACAGTTATGATCATTACTCATAAATTGTCAATTTTTATAAAAAATGTAAAATGAAGTCACTTTTCGATCTCACAGCCACTCCTTGTGATTTTTATTAGACTAGGTTAATTTTCAAAAACATTTATGGGTTTATAAAATCTGAAATTTATTATGATATGTTGATTTTTGTTGGATTTGGTTTTAAAACGAAAATCATATTTTTTCTGTTGGTGAAATTTGGCTATCGAAAGCTATATGTTTGTTTAAGTTATATATGCTTAAAAAGAAGATGCAACTTAACCTAAAGTTAAGTTTAAAACTACGTTTACCAAGAAATTTGAATAATGATGGTAACTAAAGCGAGTGAGTTTAGATGGGAGATATTAGTTATTGCTACATAAACTGCATTCAATCGAAAGAAAATGGATATACGTAGATTGCGATAATAATATATTGCTTAGATAGAAGCTCAACCGATGTCTTGAATGTAAAGGAGCTCATGAAGTAAATAAAACTGATAGAGATAAACAGGCAAGCAGATGGATAGATTATAACGGTATTGTGATTGAGCATAAAATTGACTACATTAGATCTCATTAATAAGAAGAAACTTGAGATTACAAGCACCAACCTTGTTGGGATTTCTGGCTCTAATAATGCCCCTTTATGCTCCTTTCTAGCAGATCTCAGAACTGAAATGAGGTTCTCTAAAGAAAGAGTAAGGAGAAAGAAGGTCTTTCTTGCCTATCAAATTTCTATTTTTTGTAGCCTTTTTCTCCTCTCTCTCTAGTCGTGCCTTTAACAAGAGCACCATAGAGTAGGGCTGGCTATTTGGTCCGGACTGTTTGGTTTTACCCGAAACAGGACCGTATAACCCGGACCGGGACCGGAGAGCAAACAATCCAATCTCATATTCGGGCTTAGATTTGAGGTAAAATTCCGAATAAAGACCGGATAAGAGACCCCCAACACCTAAAATCAAGATTAAATTGGGACCGGACCGGGTAAAGACCGGACCGGATCAAGACCGGATTGTATCCAATCCAATCTTTGGTCCTTATATTCTCGAAAAGACCGGACTGTGACCGGATCAATTTGGTCCAATTTAACCGGACCGGACCGTATAGCCACCCCTACCATAGAGCTCATTTATAGAACAAAAACATGCCCCTTTGCTTCATTGTGATTGGTTGATTTTGAGGCTGTGTTTGAGAGCTCCACCTTGCTTGGCCGGTTCTGACTTCTTACTGGTCAGGGGTCGAAAAGATTAGGCCGACTTGGGCCTGGAGTTGGGCTTGAAGTGAACTGAGTTTAACTTCATCCTTCCAGATGGGCTTTTGAACTGTTTGAGACTTGGTTCTGACCTGAACTTAGGCCTTTGGTTGGGCTCTAAACGGGCTTGGTCTAGTCTTTGTTTGAACTGGGCTCCAATATCTTGGTTTGAACTTGTAGACTTTAAATTCGTGTTTGGACTTATCTGACTTATTTCATTTTTGTCTTTGCAGGTACCTGATTTATTTTTTTGGCTCAAAGTGTGACCTAAGGAGGCCCAAGGACTCAAAATGAGTTGTGGTGCCCAAATGAGAGGGACGTTTCCTTGTTATAAATTCAATTTTCTTTCTCTTCATTCCTCTTTCAAATGTACAATTACCTAGTGTAATTTGTAATTCATCATTTGTAATTATACATGTAATATTCTATGCCATTGGCCTTTAATGCTAGATAATTATTACGATGCAATGGAAAATGTTTTATAAAGTTCAAGCGACCCTTCCAAACCCAATTCAATTCAATCTAAATTAAATTTGACCCTTCATTCACTTCAATCGTTAAATCAGCTTTGAACCTTCGACTGAATTATTCCCAACTGGGCTCGTGACCATAAAATTAGGTATATCACTACTCTATCTTATCCGAGGCCTATTTAAAATCAATTATCATACCAGATCTATTTAGGACCAAATATGGCAAAGAGAAACAACTTGGGAACCATTGGTACTTATTGACTTGCTACTGCAAATCTCAACCAATTCTATCCATACTTCTATATCAAGTCGTCCTTTTGAGTTTTAAACCGGTTTTCCTTTTCAGTTTTAGGTAGGATCGCTGTTGCGGACAAAATGTGGTGTCTACAGTTGCCCCCCTTTGTATATCTCTTTGTATAAAGAGTTATACAAAGTTTCTATAAAGACATCACATTTTGTGAGAGTAGTCTCGATAGTTGTGTTAGAGTTTCAAGGAGAGTAGGGTTTTTTATTATTATTTTTTTATGCGAGAACTGTTGGTAGTTTTGTGTGTTAGTATGAGATCGCCGATTGCGAGGGCTTTAATTCCTTTGATAGTCTTTGTCAATGATGGAGAATTTATGTTTTAATATAGCGTTCGCCAACGCGAGAAATTTTCTGATACTCACTATATTATATTTCTTTGACGCTTGCCAATTCCGGTTAGGTATTTAATGATAGAGGCGCTTCTCAGCTCCCGTGCGTTGTTGATTGATAGAGGGGCTCGCCAGCTCCTTGTGAGGTATTGATTGGTAGGGGTGCTCCTCAGCTCCCATGCGTTGTTGACTTGTAGAGGGGCTCGCTGGCTCCTGTGAGGTATTGATTGGTAGGGGTGCTCCTCAGCTCCCGTGAGTTACTGATTGGTAGGGGTGCTCCTCAGCTCCCGTGCGTTGTTGACTTGTAGAGGGGCTCGCCAGCTCCTGTGAGGTATTGATTGGTAGGGGTGCTCCTCAGCTCCCGTGCATTGTTGAGTTGTAGAGGGGCTCGCCAACTCCTGTGAGGTATTGATTGGTAGGGGTGCTCCTCAGCTCCCGTGCGTTGTTGACTTGTAGAGGGGCTCGCCAGCTCCTGTGAGGTATTGGTTGGTAGGGATGCTCCTCAGCTCCCGTGCGTTGTTGACTTGTAGAGGGGCTCGAGAGCTCTTGTGAGGTATTGAATTGTAGGGGTGCTCTTCAGCTCTCATGAGGTATTGGAAAAGTAGGGGTGCTCCTCAGCTCCCGTGTGTTGTTAACTAGTAGAGGGGCTCACTAGCTCCCGTGAGGTGTTAATTTGGTAGGGGTGCTCCTCATCTCCCGTGAGGTATTGAATGGTAGGGGCGCTCCTCAGCATTTTTGCCTGATAGAGGGGCTCACCAGCTCTTGTGAGGTATTCATTTGGTAGAGGTGCTCCTCAGTTCCCGTGAGGTATTGAATGGTAGGGGCGCTCCTCAGCTCCCGTGCGTTGTTGACTGATAGAAGGGCTGGCCAGCTCCTGTGAGGTATTGATTGGTAGGGGTGCTCCTCAGCTACCATGAGGTATTGAATGGTAGGGGCACTCTACAGCTCC